CCCCTCTCTCCCTATTTATTTCAGAACCCCCTTCCCCTCCCCCATTTCTGAAGAAGGGTCTAGGCCCGAAACGTCAGCCTTCCTGCTCCTCTGATGCTGCTTGGCCTGCTGTGTTCATCCAGCTCTACACCTTGTTATCTCTCATCATTATTATGTTGCTGTTTTTGAAAACTTGCTAATCACAACTTCACTGCCACATTTCCAACATTTCAAAAGTGGCCACATCTCAAAAGTACTGCTTTGGCTTTAAATGCATTTGAACATTGTGAGATTGTGAAAGGTGTGACGTAAATGCAAGTCTTTTTCTTTGTTATAATCAAGTATTATAATCTGTGTTAATCATTATTTATGTGATTTTAGTAAGTACATTTGTTCCCTATTACTGGAATTAGACATGAACAGAAAAAAAAACTATGTTTTTTCCTTTTACTGATTGGCCAGGGAAGTTCCTGCCTCATCGTCCCCTCCCAGTTTTCCTGATTGGTTTGGAGAATTTAAGCTCAGACTTTCTTAGAGTTGGTTTTGGATTCAACCTCACTTTCTGTGATTGTGTTGCTTAAAGGTTTTTGTTCTAAGAAGAACACGGACAAATAAAGGAAGAGTTTCACTTTGAAAACAAGCACAGATCCTATCGTGGGCATCTTGTGTTTCTTGAGAGGTCTTGGAGACAGTGTCAAGCTTTTTATTTTTGGAAGGAATATTTCACGGGAGGAACAGAGCCGGCCTGAAATATTTCCACATTTTTGTGCTAGTGAATTATTCAGTTAGTTGAAGACAGAATGTCATCTGTGTGCCTGCATTTACTGGGATTCATGCTGAGCTCCCTGGGCTGGATCGCTATTCTGATTGCCACCATCACCAAAGAATGGGTTCAGAGCTGCTCAACAGGAGTGAGTGATTGCCTTCATTTCAATGGATTGAAACTGAAGGGACTGTGGACTGAATGTTACCGATCAACTGACAGTTATCACTGCAAGACTCTGACGGACATCCTGACAATGCCAGGTAACTTATCCATCACTATTAGTCTTGTGACAATATTAACTCCACCTCCTTTTTAAATATTCCCCAATGCTTTTTAATTTTTAGACATATATATTTCACCTCTGGTTCCACACTTTTAAACAAATACAATTTGTCCATTCGCTGTCTCTATTTCCTTTGCATCATTTTATCTAATTATTTTTGCTGTGTAATCATCTTTACTTTGTTCCATATTTCCTCCTCCTCTTGCTCCTCCTTTACTTTGTTCCTACTCTGATTTTATACGTTGCCTCAATATCTGGCTCTTAACTTTCCCTGAATGCTTTCAAACCATCAACATATTCTTCAAAGCCACATTGCAGAAGCTAATTTATGACTCCAGCTGATGTTCCACTGATTTACCTGATGAATTAACCCATTTAACTTCAAGTGGTAAAATACTGGGTACAAATTTAATTTATACGTGCCCTTTAATTTTTCCTGTGCTAATCCACACATGGAATATTCATTGAGGTAATTATTCTCCAGTTGAATCTTAATTTGAACTCAAAGAGAACATGAGGACATTCACTAATACTTGCTAACGGGAGGCCATAAATTTTTTTGTAGACACTAACTCAAAACTGGGCAGCAATTTATCAATCTTTCATTCTGCATATTTGTCATTACTTCCCTCTAGGAAGGTATGTGATTATTCTCACTAAGTATTAGTTGTGACTTAATGGGTTGAACTCGAGAAAGAACTTGTAGCTCACGTTCTACTCCAGAGGCTTGTGCCCATAATCCAGGCTAACCCTCCAGTACAATACTGTGAGGAGTGAGTGCTGCATTATTGGGGGTTCAGATTTTCAGATGGGCTATTAAATCGAGTCCCCATCTGCGCTATGAGGGGGATTAAAAGATTCAATGGCACTTTCGGAGTAAGAACACAGCTGTTCACTACGGTGTTCAGCCTCAATATGTAGTGATTATCATATTGCTGTTTGTGGGATCTCACACTGCATGTTTGCTGCATTTGTTACAACGAATGACTACACTGGAAAGGCATTTCATTGGCAGTAAAGCACATTCAGGAATCTTGATAGTGTGAAAGATGCTATGTAAATGTGAGTATACTATTCTATTTCAATCTATTTTCTGCTGATTTAGAATTGTTACTCTTCTGGGTGTAAGTGAGAAATCTTGATTCCAAAACTGTAAATTTGAAATGAAATGGCTTCTGAACAAAGAGACACAGTGTTACAGCTTCTGCCTCAGATAGGAATATGTGGGCACTCTGGCAGATATTATAATTATCTATGGATTTTCAGCAGGCGTATTTTCAGCAAGACTATTAAAACTCTTATCCCATCCCTAATCCCCTCGTCCTTATTCTGCCCTGGTCAAAATTTCATGGTAAAGAATTGAGTGAATGTATAATTGTGTAAATCTCACAGTTCCTGAGATTGCTGCATGATGATTTACTCCAATGTCATATTACACATTATATTTCATAATTCTGTTTGTGCCAAGTATGCAAGATATTGTAACAGACCCAATGAAATTGGCAATTTAGTAATGGTAAAAGGGAGAACATTACCGAGCAATACTGTTTTTGGTGCTCCTACATTTCTGGCACCCTGCTCACTTTCAAAACTTTTTATTTGTTCTGGCCCTCTCATATTTTCTTTGAAACCACTGGTGTTTGCTGTCCCCTGTTTTGATTCTCAATTAGATTTCCAATGTCCCTTTCTTCCTTCATCCTCCCCACTCTGTGATTCCACATCCTTTTGATTTCTGTCTCAGCTCCCCTCACACACTCTCTCCTCTGATCTGACTGCCCAGCTGTCCTGCCTAAACCTGTTCCTCTGGTCTCCCCTATTCACTTATGAAGACAGCACAGAATATGTACACCCTCACTACTTCCATGTTCTCAATTACAAGCATCTCTGCATTGTTTCTTTGTATGCCTTGCCAGCAACATGCCTTTGCCCTCTTTCAGCTTCCCACTTCTTTCTTTGGTCAATCCTGTTAACAAGTTCCACCTCACCAAGTAACTTACAGTTGTTCTTTCAAAAGGACGAATTCCCAGCCTTTAGCTCTCTACCCTCCAGCAAGTACTAGTAAAGTCTGTATAGTCATCTTCTGAGCTTTGATGCCCTGTTGGAACATATGCTTTTATCTTGGCCAATCCTGGAGGTACTCACAGCATGCTCCTTATCTTCAAGTGCAGTAGCACCTATTTGAGCAGACCTTGTGTGCAACTAGTTTAGCCATCCATGACTGACCACCATCACCACAAACAACATTAAAAGGGGTTGAAAAAAATTATATTTCCTTCATTCAACAAGCCAAATGTCCCACCTTGGGGTTGCTCCTGACATATGCAGGGGCAATTGAAGTATTCAACAGGCCATTGGATGATTGTTTGAATAGAAACATTGCAAGAGTATAAGGAAAATGCAGGAGAGTGGCACTAAGACATCATGCTCATTGGAGAGTCAGTATAGACTTGATGTACCAAACTACTGCATCTGTGTTGTAACGATTCTGTGATTCTGAATGATCCTGATCTCAAGTGACTTTTCCAGATATGGCCCATCCCTCTCCACTCTGTCCCTGAGAATACCTCAGCCGCCAGATCGACATTGTCCTTCATTTCCATTGAACTCTCGAGTATTCAAATTCCCTTCCTGACTCTTGGTACTTCATGACTTGAGGAATAGTTCTATCTCAGCCATAGCTCCACTCAATTTCAAAAATGAAGGAAATTTCTCTTCCATTCTGAAAAATTACCTTTTGTTGCAAACTTGCATTGTATCTTTAACTTGCACTTCCTCTTCAAAGTCATTGACTCTTCTCAGCTCCGTACCAGTATTTTCTGGAACTCTACATTTGAATCCCTTCTTTCAGGATTTCATCATACTATCAGGATGGAAATGGCACTTACTACATGGGTGTAAGGGAGGGGTAGTGCCTCTCATTGGTGGGTTAATTGCACTCATTTGAGAGGCTCATCCTGTATTGGTTCTCACCTGCGGCTTCCGTATGACAACAGCTATTAAAACATAGATTTGTGCCTATTTCCCTCAGTGACTTATGGATTTGTCTACCTGGGCATGGGAAGACTGACTCTGGGTGAACTGAGTGGATGAGACCAATTTAAGGTCTAAAAGCTTTGAAATAAATCAGAGTGGTGCTGCGAACACGTCGAATTTTAAAAACGTCATCCTCACCCACAGCTCCTGATTTATCTCAAGATGCTTAGTCTTAAATATCACTGGATGAAGATTGATCCAGATGACAGAGAGAGGTTGATGACAGGCACCTCTCCCTTACTATAATCTAAACCACAGCCAATTCTTTCTCATCATCTTTATATCATTTGTCATTTATGGTTTTGGCAAATGACCCAAATAATGAATGCAGGCATCTTCACCTCAAGGGGTGAACAAAAGACTATAGCCATGATATTCATTAAAAATATATTGGTGTGTTCTCGTCATCACCACCTTTGCAATCTAAGATATGGTTGATCTCACCATCTTCCCCCAATGCCCTTCATACATTTTATAGCTCACTTGCCATGCCCTGGATTGGCTCCTCACTCGCTGAAATTGAGGCCAGATGATCTCCAACAATGGCTTCTTTTGCTGCGTGCACACAGTTATTCCTGGTGCCCCCAAATAACACCGATCCTCCCAATTCCTCCTCTCCCATTTCGGAAGGACACACCACGGCAATTAATCCACAAAATGACAACATCACTACTTTGTTTCTCTCACCATCTCCCCTGCCTCACTGCTGTCAGATTGTGTCTGGCAACTAGTCCTGAATGAGCCTGTTTTTTTCCTTCACAAATGCTGCTAGACCTGCTGAGCTTTTCCAACAACTTTGTTTTTGTTCCTGAATGAGCCACAATTTTCCTCCTCACTATCTCAGACTTCTGCCATTTGATGGATCTGTTTGGCCCCAAGTTGTGTTTCCCATCTCATATCCATGGCATCACAAAAAAAGCACCTACTTCCACTCCATAAGCAGCTGCCTCTGGTCATCTGCTGCAGAAATTCTCATCAATGGCTATTACTCCTTCTCCGATCTTCAACCTTCTGTAAATGTAGTCCACATCAAAATTCTGCTGACCTTAGAAATATCCATTCATTCCTCACATGGAGGGTAAATCGTGACATGGCAAACAACACACATACACACACACACATGCTTTACACCTCAACAAGCTCCATCCCCATCTGATTTAGCTTGGCCTGAACTTCACACCCTGTTAAATACTGCTTGCTAGGAAGCCAATCTTGACTTTTGATTCCCTGACACATCATGGCTGAGTTTGTTTTACCATAGTCATATTACCGGGATTGACAGGATTGTTAATGTTCTATTCTGTTTCCCTGAAACTTTCTTCATTGATACAAAACTGCTTTCTTCTTTTAATGAAAAATGTATTTTCTCTTTAATCATCAGGTAAAATTTTAAATTGTTGATTACATGAAATTGCAATTCATATCACCTTTTTTTCAACTTTGAAAAACAAAATTTATCCATGCTTGGTGGTTTTCTGTTAGAGACAGGGATACTTGGAGTTAACCTCTACAACTCACCTTCTTGAGCTTTGTCCCAGTAGATAATAGGGGGACCTGAAACAGTTAAGGAAGTTTTTTTGAAATGCAAACCTTTAGTCCAATTTCTCAATATGTTGTGACATCTGATGTTTGTAGAAAAATTATTAAATTCTTAAAACTGAGGAGAATCGCTTGCCTTACCATGTCATCCTTGTACAGCTAAATCTTAATATTTTTGGCAAAAGTGGAAGTCATGTTGAGTTTTGTGGAGTGATTATCGCTGCAAAGCCCAACGAATTTTCCCTCTATGTCTTATTAACTCACTGGAATAATTAGCATTTGAGCCTTCACAGTGAGAATCACGTCCAATTCCTATCCCACCTTACTACATGCCATTTCTGAAGAAACTTGTTTCTCATTGGAGGCCCTGGAATTGATGGGCATCCATAGCTTCAGCACTGTATT